ATATTTCCCAGTTCCAGCTTTTATTTATCATATTTTATAGTAAACTAAATATTAGGGGGTTTTGGAGAAGTTCGGAGAAAACGAGCAGTTTGTCATTATAAATGTATATTAAATGTCATTACCTTAGACTTTATGATTATGATGGGTATTTTTTCACCAATTGAATAAAATAATTAAAACAATTAACAACAGATATAGATCTGCAAATATTTGACAAATGACAAAAACATTTGTGTCATATTTCATGCAATCCAATACCTGTCAATACCACATGGTGGCGCAATAGAAAAAGTCATGTTACCAAAAGTCACAATTCATTCTCTCATCCTCATTATATCTATACACAGATGTTGCGATATTTCACAGGAAAAGTGAAAACTTTGACCCGCTGGTGGCGCTAGATGTAAAGGAACCATTCATCCTCTGGAGACCATGTCAGTACCAAAATTTCATGGAAATCGTACATTTGTTGAGACAGAAAAGCTTTGCTATCCAAAGAGCCATGCCACTAACATGGCAAAACAGCTACATTCATGGGATTCAGTAACACAGGTCCTGCAGCTTCTGTCAAAACTTTTCCTTCTGTTCTCTGAGGTGAAAATGTTAGTGATGTTTCTCAGAATGTTAGTAAGCATAAAAAACCTTACAGCAGGAGGTTTTCCCCACCATGATGCTCTACAGGTCTAATGCATTGCAATGCTGTGTACAGCGATGATTGATGTCAACACCCTCCTCTTAATCACCTGAGAGTTATTCAGCCTCTTGACAGTCTGGCAGCCATTTTGAATTCTTCTCTAATGACTAGAGAGACAGGTTGCAGATGATGTTAGCTGACGCCGGTCTCACGGATCACTACCATTCTGTCAGTGATTAAGTGACTCATCTACCTCTAGTAAACAAACCCCCAGTAGAGCATCTTGCATCCATCAAAAGATGCCTTTGAGTCGCTCCGCTTATCTAACTTGGAAGGAATCCATCATACCTGTACAAAACGGTGGATGCTGTGTGGTCTCTCGGGAGTTGTCCCATAAACAAACACATTCAGTTAAGACTGCAGCCATACATGTGTAAAGGGAGCACTGTTACTTTTTGTCCTGCAGAAAGGTATAGCATTCCCATATGTGTTCCGCTTCGGGGAAATGAAACTGAAAAACACTGTCACAGTTATTTGTGACCTGATTTCTGGAGCTTCTCAAACAAACTTGACAAAACTCAAAATGCTGCAAAGTAAACTTCTAAAAAAAAGAAAAGAAAACTAACCTTTCGAACTTCACATTTTTAAAATATCTATTAGGAAATAGGGTTTTTGGTACATGAAGTTGTATCTAAAGCCGAGCTTTCTTAAGGTAGTGCTTGGAGAAAAATAGTAAACAGAAACGTGTGAAAATACAGCTGACAAACTGACAACACAGTTGCTTGAGACATATTATACACTTGAGGAAACCTTTTATAAGTCCCTCTAAGAGCTAATGTGTCTCAGCGTAGCAGCGCAGATCCTCAACAGCACAGGCCGTTCTACATAAAACCCAAGCAAGGCACTTTAGTCTTTATTGATAGCTGCGTGAGTAAGACAAGTGTGGTGATGTAACAGATCTTTCTTAAATTGCATGGGCAGCATTGTTGGTCTGGACAACCCCTGAGGCTGAGGTTTGATTTCAGCAGATTCATTTAGCTTCCTCTCTTACGCAACACCATCTCAGCTTTCAAGCTGTCTCACTGATCTCAGGATCACCTTTGACTCCTTGCATGGGTGGCTAGCTGCTGAACTGCACTCCCTTGATAACAGCTTAGAGAGGAAACAACACCACTCTTGAAAAGATCCTTAAACATCAGAATAAGACCTGATAGCAGGACGACTGTTTGGCAGCAGAGAGACAGGTGAAAAGGCAGTGATGGATAGCGGCTTTGATGAATTCCTTAAAACAGCATGTAAGGTTGTAAAGGATCAAACAGAAACAACAGTATGAGAACCCTGCGGAGCATGTGTTTGATGTGGATTATCCACAGGCTAAAAAAAAAAACCTGGTTCACTTTCACAGTAGGTCACTGCTACTGAATGACAAAACAATCAACTTATTTTTAAAAAAATGGCTTAGACAATAATGCAACTTTATCATCGATTCAGAATTAAATTTAGAGGTTTCGATTTTATTAAAATAGTCACTTATTGGAAGGATCACAGACACCATTGGTTCAGGAAAAATTACCAAAAGATTTCATCAGAATAGCTATGACGCATTGTGTCGGTAACACTGTCTTCAGGAGATGTTTATTCTCAGGTGGTGTTTCACAAAAAAATGTGTGACAGTTATGGTTATGTGTGCTGACATGTGAACAGGGACACATTCATAATTAATCCATTAAATATTAAAGGCGAGGAAGCTATTCACTGAAAGGATGTGCTCACTACATGGGTCTTAAAATAAGAGAGAGTGAAGGTTGTTTGGTCTGAGCTGACAGCTGTGTCAGGAATGAGGTCACAACACAAGAACGGTTCAGCTAAGAGAGACAATGGTTCATACATAATTATTTTCTCAATATAAACTCAAAGGGGGGAACACAGTGATGTTGCACTACTGTACTGTCATAAAGTTTGGGGATGTCATGAAATCCAACTTTTGGGGCAAACTCCAGAAACAGTTCCTCCTACAATTCCCATAATGCAATTCAATACATCTCTCATTAAACCCTGCCTTCCTGCTAAATGTCCATATCTTTCAGACCAAGTGGCAACCTCAGTGGCCGGCAAATAAAAGCAACACAGAAATAACAAAAACTGCAGTTCCT